AGCTGACCCTGCACCACTTGTGAACCCAAAGGCCACACAATATTCCATTTCAAGTCCACAAAATAATGTAAAAGTCTTAAAAACAAAAGCTGCTTCTACATGTAGTCCTATGAGGAGCGAGAGTCGTTCAGCAACTAACACGTCACACAAGCTCCGCCCCCTGCTGGAGCTCTGAATGGSATTCAAAAATATGGTTTTCATGCTATTTGTAGATAATTACATGTTTTGGTCAAATTTACAATATTTAGACATTTTATTGATATTCATACTACATACAACATATTTTACCAAATTATTCAGTTATTTCACCAACTAAAGTAGCCTTCATTTCACCTTTAAGTTTTTTGAAGACAAATAAAAAWTTTTTAATGCCACTTTGGTTCAGATTTAATGCGTTTTAATGCAACTATTAACTTTTAACAAATCAATGAAATGACTTTTCTTGCTGTTTAATGACACATGGAAACCCTTTGTTTAATCAGAGGAAGTGAAACAGTGAGTCAAACAGAAAGACTCCAACAGGCTGTGGTAATGTGGCAGAGCTCTCTCACCAGGAGAGAGGAGTTTTGTCAAAGTTGGACGTGTCTGATAACAGCTCTGAACACAAACATTTAGATAATGTTAGGTTTAAATACCAAAGTCCCAGGTAGCTTGAGGGCAAAGTGTGGAAGAGACGAGGGCTGCTCACTTAGGACAGGAGCTGTTGAATGATGATCAGTGCTTTCACTCTCAGACTCTTCTGACCTCAAAATCCATGAGAAAGACCTGCCTGCTCTGCTCTGATTCAATCAAACTGTGGCTCTGCTTCATTTGATTTGTTGGAAGCAGAAGTTTAATCCAGGATCAGTAGATTAGACAGCTTTAACAAGACCACAACAGAAAACAGAGTTTTGTTTTGTATTTTCTTCATCATTAAAGATGACAGAAATCTGTGGTGGTGGAGCAACATGTTCAGTGGAGAAGCTCTGATATGATTCATTTCAACCTGAAGCTCATTGTAGAGAGTTTATGTTGACTTCAACTAAATATGGCCCAAAAGTCAAAGTTAGAAAAGCCAAAAGTTCATTTCTTTTTTCYATGAGCAAACATTAAAACTCAGCAGTGATGAAATAATTATTTCTCCATCTGTAAATAAGGAAAATGTTTTCTTCTTACTGCTCTGCAGACGCTCAGTCAGCTCCTTCTTCATCTTCCTCAGGAAATGTAGCRTGATCTTCAGAACAGCTTCTCTGCTGCTCCTCTTCTCATCTTCATCACCATCTAAACCCTCTTCATCTGCCATTTGACTCTCTAAGCTTAGAGAAGGATTTGAACTAAGAAGCTTCTGGATCTTCTTCAGCTCCTTCTCCACAAAAGAGACCATGTTGTCCTCCAGCAGCTGTGAACGAGACAAACACATGATGGAGACAAACTAAGCTAAGCTAGCTCCTGTGTCTCCTGGTCACTGCTGGACAAGTACGCACCAGAAGCATGGAGTCCAGCTGGGTGTGATGCTGCTGCTGGGAGGACTGGGAGCTCTGCTGCTCCATGTTTACAAGCTGCTGAGCCTCTGAGCGCTCCCTCCTAAAGGACACACAGCTGGCTCCAGGTCCAGGTCCAGGTCCAGGT